CTATCTAATCTATCAGCAAACGCTCAGAACATTGGCCGAAAAAAATCTTTGTAAATCATGCAGCTTCACACTCTAGTTTTGCATGTAAGGAAAAACATTCTCAGGCATGAATGACCTGCTGAAAAGTCCATGTTAGTCTCCTGAAAGAGCCATGCCAGCGGTACTTTCTAATACTCCTTGCTGTCTCCATAATCAAAAGAAGGAAGAAGGCTGAGCCATGAAATTCAAATCAAAGGGGGCAAGTACTAGCTTACTCAAGCTCAACACTTGCTTAGGGACATTGAGTAGTCAAAACAAGAATTCACACAGCAAGGACTGCCTTAGAGAGGATTATTGCCTTGACCAACACATCATTTCCTGGGGCATTTTCTCCCTGAAAAGCCAATAAAAGGTTCTCCAACAAATAGAGTTCACATACAATTTTGTAGCAAAGGAATTGATGTCATTCAGTGAGACACCCAGAGGAGTTTTAGCATATGGTATAATTTGAGAAATCCTGACTTTCAGTGCAAAATAGTACAAAATACCTCTTCCCAGTCACCTTGCTGTTTCCTTCCTTCCAATGTACTTTCAGTAGAATGACTCCACTGGTCAACAAGTTGCCCAAATTAATCCATTTTTGGAAGTTATGTACAAAGTCCATTTCTTTTCTATGTCTTATATATTTGTTATAAAGCTGACAAAATTAGCTGCAAAATCTGGGGAGTATGAAGTAGACTACTAGTTTTTATATGAAGAGATCTGTAGGGAAAAAAAGCAATATTCAATCCAAAGAATTGCATTTACTATTTCAAAACTTCAAAAGTTGGGCAAGAACAATACTTATTTCATCTTCACATGGTTTCTACGATCTATTTGATCATGTTTTATTGCATTTTACTACATGATGGGATGAGGAGCAGTATGCACAGGAATGAAGGTCAGTGTAGTTGGCCAAGTTCTAAAACAGTCATTGAATTCCTACCTTGCTGATGTACATGCCCTTTTCTACGGCTCCCATTTCTGTGTGTAATGCGATTCCTGCCCTGTGAGTGACCAGGTTGCTTGTCAAAGCAAGAAAAATAAAGGCAGGGATTTCTATAGATGTAAATTCACTTCTCTGGAGTTAACTTTGACTTAATCCTAAGGGATATGATCCCGGTTGGACCTGATCTTTAGAAGTGAGGCTGCATCTTCCCTTGCAGTGAGATGCTTCCTTGCTAGTTGTGAAGAAGCACATATTATGTTGAAAACTGCCTGTATAAAAGTGGCAACTTGTAGGAATCAAAGGCCTCAGTCTATCAAATGCAAGTAGCTGGATCATTCCAAAGACCTGCATGAGTTTGATCCTAGGTGAAAATACAGTCAGGCTTAGCATACCTTTTGCAACCCTGTGAGATCTTATGCATGAAACAAGCTAAACTAAACCCAGAGACCTGACCCTAGCAAATGGTGAAATAGTGAATGTGCAGCACTTAAAGATGCTAAATAAGTAGCAATTGTTACATAGGGAGAGCAAACCAACACGAGTATCCTTTAGTACATGAAGCAGAGAAGGGAATGCACAACCTAGGAAGACCATCCTCAAACAGGAAGCATAATAATAATACATTATGAGAAGTGCCACCTTCATACGTTGAAGCACTGAAACACAACACGTATCTTCCCTTAGGCCTGGCACTTACCCTTGAACAATACTCAGGTATAAGCTGTTTCATACTATTAGACCTAAATGTGGTGCTCTAGAATGGGTGGATGGGCTGACTAAAGCAGGATATTCCGAAAGCAAAGCAACACATGACCTGCCATTGCTATATGAGGGTACTTCAGAAACACAGTGGAAAATGTACATTATTAAAGAACTATGTGGGAATTTTAATATTTTTGCACCCAAACAAACATTTCTTAATTCCACCTTTTCCAGATTTTGGAAGTACTCTCATTTTCATTCACTGCAAAGTTTGAAGTCCTCACTTGACAGATGCTATGCCAACTGACTTATTTCCAAAAATTGTGGTGCGGAATCTATGAGACTAGAGGTTATCAAAATAGTCTAGTCATATGAAATGCTGTCCTCCTTCACATATTCATAACCTAAAATGCTCCTCAGTAGCAAAATGAAGAACACTCTTAACCTGTACTCATGTAATGATAAAAGGTAAAAGGTCCATTGTTCGCCCACACCATCGACTCAGATAAAGCAGGTCTGCTGGAGTCTGTCAGATGTGAAAGCCTAGGTTGAATGAGCTAATATACAAATGCTCAGGACTCTTATGCTTTTGCCAGTTAGTTAACCAAATTTTAGGACGAGAAACCATCATATACCATTCTTCTTCACAAGGAAGCCTAAGAACTTGGGGACTGTTAAGTTCAGATGATGATACAGTCATTTCTGAGTTGGTCACTGTGTAGAGATCTAGAAGTTCACATGCTTAAGGAACAATTTCAAGGGGAGGAAAGAACCCCCACACCTACATAGCCAAATTGTGGTAAATCATAAATATACTTGCGTAATAATAATCATAAAGGAACATTTTCTAAGCAGCCTCTGCTTTTCGGGCGTCATCAGAGACCCTACCACATTCTCACACTTTTCAGTTTTTGTTTGCTTCTCAGGCAGACACCCAGTTGCGTGTTATTGATAAAATAATGATAACCAGAGAACAAGTGATACATACTGACACTCACCAGTCACCTGACAGCACGATAATCACTTTGCCACCATCATGATGGCAAATCCTCATGACATTTATTTTATTCTTTATAACATTTTGGGGTTTGTGATTTGGAAGACAAAAATCTAGAAATACAGATATCTTTCATCTGGTTCCCTCTAAAAGTGCCTACAACATATTTGTGTGGGCCAGTCCAAAGCCTGGAACCCAGAACTCAATGTGAATTTCTCCATGGATGGCAAGGACCCAAGTGCTGCTTCTCAGAGTGCATATTACCAAAAAGCTGGAGTCAGAAATCAGAGTTGAGTTGAGTACTCAGGCACTCCAACATGGGATGTGGAAATCTCAAGTGTCATCTTAACTGCCACACCGTGATGCCAGGCCCGCTCATTTGATTATTATTGCCACAGTTTAGAGAAAGCACTGAAGAAACTGAACTTGAGTAATTTGCTAACAATCCTACCAACAGGAAACTATCAATCCCAGATTTGAGCTCAGGTTTGACTTCAAAGCCCATACTTAAACTTCTGTACATTTCTTGTGTTTGTCTTAGAGGTAACAACCACCTCAGGACTGGCACAGTGGCATGGCCATCAGACTCTGCTTGCAGCACCAGTATCCCATATAGGTACTGGTTTGAATCCCAGCTGCTCCAACTCCCTGCTAATCCAACCCCTGCTTGTGATTTGGGAAAGCAGCAGAGGATGGCTCAAGGCCTTGGGTCTCTGTACGCTTGTGGGAGAATAGGAAGCAGTTCTGGGATCCTGGCTTTAGACTGGCTCAGTTCCAACTATTGTGACCATTTTGGTAGTGACCCAGCAGATGGCAGATCTCTATCTTTCCTTTTCTCTCTGTAACTCTGCCTTTCTAAATAAACGAACCTTAAAAAAAAAAAAAGCAACAACCACCTCCAAGCTGACCTTAAACATTAATCAAGAAAACAATGTGTCAACAGGGAAGAAAACATCAAAGGAAGTATGGTTGAAAAGCAAAACTTTACAAAGACCAATTAGTGCTATCTATGTATGGGGACCCCAGCCACTAGAGTAAACATTATTTTTAGGGATGATACTAATTTCGTGACTTAATTTTAAAAGAATCACTTTGATTTTCTAATTCTATAATCCAAGAACATAAGCACAAATGTGATTTCTAAAATATCTTGAATATGAGAAACGTCCCCAAGTTTTGTATTATACATATTTCCATCTGTTGGAAAGGATATCCTTAAACATTTGTATCAAACTCCACATATCATTTAATACGAACACAGTTCATGTCAATATAATTATTATGTTATTAGAGCCTGGTTCATTTTGGAGGTGAATTAGTTCAGTTTCCTTTTTGTTTTTACTAAGTCAAACAATATATGTACCATAGCAAACGCAACAATTGAACCCTGGCTTCCCCATTCCTGTTCTCATTGGAAAACTCCAGGAATACCTATTAAGAGGACACAGATAAGCAAAGTGATCTTACAGCAGGGTGGCTAATTGCCAAGCTCAGCACAGATGATGTAATGAACTCGTCAGGACCAGAAAACGACACTGCAGCCACACAAGAGCCAGGAGAGCAGGAAGCATCGTCCCCAGCTGTAGAGACCTGAATGGACATCCTCAGATTCTGTTCTTAGTACCCGAATGAGAACTAAACACTGGCTCCTCTTGAAAGCTTTGTTCCTTTCACACTGTTGAATCTAAGCCGTTAGCATTGTTTTGAAGCACTTTACCTTCTTTCCTCGTTATCCCTCCTTTCAACATTCTCACTTTTCCTTTGCCTCTTCCCACTGCTAACTTGCAGCAGCAGAATGATGAAGATCACAATGAGAGAAAGTACTGGGAGAAGACATGGCTCACACCCCTTACTTCTCACCTAACCCTGGTATGTTTCTGGCTTTGTCTTTGGTTCTGTCTTCTGCTTGCATGCTGCAAGCATACAAGTCTCCTGTTATTTTTAGCTGTCTCTTAGCCCATCTCAGTCCCAACCACGGATGTTACTGAAGCCACATTAGTGACAGCATGCATTCCAGCAAGCATCACTGCTGTGGTCAGCATTTCCTATTTCTTTAATGTTGAGGAATGGCTTATATAACCAAATAGCAGGAGACAGAGCTTCATCTCTCAATCCACCATCTCCCTCTATCTAACAGTTTCCTGTGGATGGAAAGTCCTTGGGTTCAGAGACTCATACATAAAAACTCAAGTTGCCACTTAATAAAATCTCTTAAAGGAGTATGATGATTTTTAATAATCCATTTCAAGCCATATACAAATGTAAAATCCTGGAAACAGCATTATCTTTCATTCAAATCCTTTAAGCATAAAATAAGAACAGATGTGTATTTACCTGGAACAAAGCTTCCCTGGACCACTTCTTTGTATGCCCACCAGCCCTCATGGATTTTTGGTGAATTCTGTTGAGCTAAAGAGAAAACAAGAACAAAGATTAAAATCACCGTCCAAAAGTCCTCTGAATGGACTGGCCAAGCACGAAGGGCAACTATACATAAATTAACCCCTTTCTAATCAAGAGCCATTTAATACCAACAACTTCCTCTTTTTCAAATATGTAACACACACATAGCATCAGTTTATAAATTCAACATAACATATCCTCATGAAAAGTACTCAAATATTTTGATCGGAAGAAATGCCAATATATTAAGGACCCCTTCTCACTGGCCCCTATGGAGACATACAAAGACATAGGCACGTATACCCTAAGAGATATGGAAAGTGGAAGAAGACCTCATCCACAAACTACAAGGACTTCCTTTGTGTCAAGAGCTTTTGTATTTGAAGAAGTTGAAAATTTCCTAAAGTAACCATGCTATTATGTTGAGTGGTATAATTAGCCAGCTTTCCTTAAGTGCCAGGAAAATAGAAGTAAAAATTTGAATAACTGTTGGAATTTTTTTTTGTTTTTTGCACGAGAGAATGAATCCTTTCCTCCAGTTCACTCTCAAAATACTCAGGGCCAGGACAGGACCAAAGCTGCAATCTACATCTCCCATGTTGGCTTCAGGAGGCCAATTATTTCAGTCATCACTTGCTGTCTCCAAATGTCTGTGTTAATAGGTTTGTAGAGTCAGGAGTTGAGTTAGGCATGGAACTTAGCTACTCTGATGCACTGTTAGATGAAAAGCCATCCTAATCCATTCTTTGCATATGGCAAGAAGAAAGGCTGCAGTACTCATGCTGTGAGATCACACTGACAAAATCGCAGAATAATTCTTGACTTGGAAACAGTTGATAGGTGAATTTGGGGCCTACCTGTATGGCCCAAAGTATAGACAATATATCAACTTCTATTTAGTAGCCTACATTCAATAGAAAGTTGTTAAAAGACAATAAAATTTAAAAATATGTTAGGAAAAAAGGAGTGACATGGTTGCAAAACTTAGCCGATTCGGACTTTTTTTTCCAATTCAAAGAAGTTTGAGTTTATTCAAAATTGATCACATTTGATTTAAACAGTATTGCTGAGTATAACTGAACAGCTTAAACAATACACCCTCTGTTGTCAGAGTTGGTTTTGGGGAAGTCACATTCTTTTAAATATGTTTCATAATTCCTCTCAGAACACTCATTCTTAATTGACTTTTCACAATGTTTTTTACTATTTACACACATTTCAAAAATTCAGCATAGTGTCTTGACATTAAGACATTCTAGTATTTCATGAAAATAGGATATCTTAATGTTTTTTGGTTTACGTTAATATAAATTCTTTTGAAATTGAGATGTAAAAAGGGTCTTCAAGCATTTTTAAAAGTTTGTATTTTGACAATAAACTACATGTATTTTAAAAATGCTGTTGCAAATTTATCTTTTAATTCCACTTTTCATGAACTTTTGAAGTTCTACTGCATAAACTGAAAATAAATTTATGATACATATTTCAGTGTGCAATGTTTGACCATGACATATTAAATCACAAATTGGCACACCTGTTCCTATTAGTCAGCCATGTCCCACACTGCCTGATTTTATACTGCTTGAAAGTCAATAGCTTCAAATTGTTTTTTAAAAATGAAGACTGGCATTTGTGACAAATTAAAGCTACATTAAATTGAAATTCCAGTGTTCATAAGTGAAGTCTTGCTGGCATGCAGCCACATCCATTTCTTCACATATTGTTGATGGCGGTTTTCCCAGTCCAATGGCAGAGTAGAGTCTCTAAAACAGACTGATTGATCTGAAAAGTGCTAAATGTTTGTGTGGCTCTATACTAAAATAATTTATTGATTGCTAACTCAGAAATAATTCGAAATTGAAAGGCCAGTATACTCACTGTAATTCCTTAACTGTCTTATAAAGGAAAAAGAGTTGGTATAATTTTCAGTAGAATATGATATATTCTGACACATAAATACTTGAAAATTTTTATTTATTTGAAAGCCAGAGTTAGAGAGGGAGACAGAGAAAGGGTTCTTCCACCTGCTGTTTCACTACCCAGACAACCACAAGTGCCAGGGATAGACCAGGCCAAAGCCCAGGACTTCATCTCGATCTCCACAGCAAGTGGCCAGGGCCCAAACTCCTGGCCTATCTTGGATTGGTTTTCCAAGAATATTATCAGGGAGCTAAAATGGTGAGGGCATGAACCTATTGGAAACAGAAATCCTATTGGATGCCAGCAACACTGGCAGTGGCTTTACCCACTACACCACAATGCCTCAATACACAAATATTTGGGATGAAACACACTACAAGATAAAATTAAGCTGGATACTTGGCTAAAACAAGTGTAAATAAGTTGTTTTGGAAATAGAATCTATGAGTAGTAATGCTATCACTGGCGTGATCTTGTTCAAAACAGTTAACAATTTAGATGAGAACAAAAGTTAAACACCATCTATAATTTGTACAGTATTTATACTGGTAAAGAACAGAGTATATTATAACTTTGTAAGAGACGCTTTATCTGTCAAATAAAGTCTGAAGGCTCAGATAAAAGTTTTTCACTTGAATGTCTGTTAGCATATGGAATCATAAATTATCCTTTGGAATTGTTCACTATATTCCAGAACATACAATGTCTACACCCTCATCGGGTTGGCACTAATTGTAACCTCTTTCACTTTAACAATCTCAAGTGTCCTTCAACATCTCCAAAATACGCTGTTAGGAACTGTTACACCCATACAGATAGTTGCTGACCAAAAGAGACCATTGATTGCCTGATTTGTGTGCACTAAATGAGACAAAATAAAACATGACATTGAACACTAATTAGGCGTTAGTGTTTACTCTAAACAGATAAAAGATCCATCTGTTCTCATTTATCCAAATTGTAGAGACTTGCTTGCTATATGAGTCACCCCACTGCATATTTGAATGTATTCTCTAGGCCTTCTTGCCACTTGCTCATATCATTAAGATACCGTCATTCTATAAAGGATAGGCTGGTGAGAAAAAATATGGTAGACACTTGTCATCAAGACAGCCCAAGGGGACAGCTAATTCAATGAAATTCTCAGTAAAATGATCAGGTTTTCCACCTCATAGATACATTCTCTCTCTCTATTCCTACTCCCTCTATATACACACATTTATGAGAAAGATCTACCAGTCCTCTAAAAAAATTAAATAGAAATTCCTTTAATGGAAAGCAAAACTTGGCTCTGGGAAATTAAGAGTGTTGCCACTGCCAAGAGTTTAGTTGAAACTCTGATTCAGAAAGTTGAATACCACTTTGCTCTCTCCCCATCTCCATTTATGTTTTCTTCAGCTATTCTACCAATTAAGAAGTAGTCCGTAAGATTTTAGAAAATCACAAGAGAATCAGCCCATTTGAGTAAAGTCTACTTTAATTGCACAACTTAGGTTTTTGTAATCTTTGACATGTACTGTAAAGGAACAGATTTACCCTCTGGATAACAGTCAGCTCTAATGGAGCCCGTTTGATAGCTATCACTTATAAAACATGATAGCTGCAGATGACAGTTGGGGAAAATGAAGGTGTTTATGAAACATGTTTGGGAATGCCCATGGACACGCTCTTCCTGACCTCATTCCATTTGACAATCGAAGACAGGATGCCACATTCAAAAGGCTACCACTTAGAGTTCTGCTTCAGCACTAGAAGAAGCTACTGAAGATGGAACAACCATAGATATAAGGATTCTGAGGGTAAGCCTCCTGCCATAGTCTCAGCAGCCTCCTGCTGTTTACATCTAATTACCAATGAATGGGAGGCTGACTGGGAATTTCTCAGAGCAAACAGGTGAGCAGAGTACGGCCCTAACTGCCATGAATTGGAATTTCTTTACTTACTGTGCAACCAACCCCTGGGAAAATTCAGGTGTCTAACAACAGCAATGAAGTGTTGACAATAAGAGCTGTCACTGCTGCAAGACACAGTGAAATACACAGTAAGAGAGGAAACATTTCAACTTGATTCTTTTTTCATTGTGGCATTTTCAGGATCGAAGTTTCAAAAGAAAATTCACAATCTCAGAATGTGTGTGTGTTCTGTCCAGTACACCCATCGACCTAGTCTTATAAGAACAAAAGATTTTGGAAAACAAAGTATTCGTCCAATTGCCTTTGGTGAAGATGAGGAAATTAAAGCAAAGAAATGTCTTTACACATAGAAGTATGGGGTCTTAGAACAAGAGTCAGCATTTTTTTTTTTTCTGCAAAGGGCTCTATAGTAAATGTTCTCTGCTTTGAAGAACATAGTGTCCCACTGTTGAACTCTGCCATTGTAATATAAAAGCAGTTTTGTAAGTCCACAAGATATGAATGAACCCACGTGACTTTGTAGAAGAAAAAGAAATTATAGACACAACAGGCTGAATTTGGCCTGCAAGAAATGTTTTCCTAACTCTGCCTTTAACAGAAGTTTTAGTCATCTAGTTCTGGTATTTTGAATAGTTAAAAATGAATTTTTAAAAATCTGAAGAATTTTGTAGTACATGGTTTTAAGTATGGTACATAGTTTCAGATCAATAAGCACTTCAGAAACTACATGTAGTATAAATATTTTCCAATGTTTCTGAAATCTATCATAAGATCACCCCAAATGTACTATGTCCTTCTTTATACCCCACTCTCACTGCACTGAAACAAAACTGGAAGGTCTTATAAGGAATCACCACAATTGCAAACAGGGTTTTGCCACCCACTCACAAAGGGTCTGATCATTTCCTCAACCACTCCTTCCAGCTTTTTTTTAAAAAAGGGAGGGGGGTATTATTTGAAAGGCAAAGTTACATAGAGAAGTAGAGACAGAGAAAGATCTATCCTCAGCTAGTCAACTTCACAAACGACTTAAGAGCCAAGGTTAGGCTCAGGCAAAGCTAGAAATTACTCAGGGTCTCCCATGTGGATGGCAGGGCCCAAGATGTGGGCCATTTTTAGCTACTTTATCCAGTGTGGTAGCAGGAAGCTGGATCAGAATTGGAACAACCAGGA